CCGGGACCCGGCCAAGGAGCCGGGGGTTCCTTTAGCAAGAAAAAAAGGGGGCGGGAAGGGCCGGGGGGCTAAGCTGTCGGCTCGCCACCATGAACGTGGTTTTCGCTGTGAAGCAGTACGTCTCCAAAATGATAGAGGACAGCGGACCCGGCATGAAAGTGCTTCTCATGGATAAGGAGACGGTGAGTTTGCTTTTGCTCAGCGTTTGTTTGTGCGGGGACCCTCCCTCACTCCCTCCCTCACAATAGCCGGTCCCATTCCTCTGCAGGATTTAGTATTGAATTAGAGATGTTTTAAATGAGGGTCAGTTCTGTGTGGCACTGAAAGGTTGTATAAAGCTTGCCAGGGAGGTGTTCGGACGAAATGGCTTTAACCACTGCCAGAGAGTTCTTCCTGCACCCGGAACGATTCCTTGGAATCAGAAATCCTTTTCTACATGTTTCTGCCAAGAAATATGCGAGACTGTGGGATGGTCCTGTTATTTCCACTCAGCGTTGTGTTTTTAAAGTAGAGCTGCTGGGGCTCGAGCTGAGATGCCACGCTATTGTTTGTTGATTACAGAATTTTAAAAAAACTCTTTAAGCTGATAGAACTTTGTTTGGTTTTGGAAAATTATGGATCGTCCATGTTCAGAGAGAGTATGTTTCATTCTGGTACCTTACCTACATGTTTGGGATGCTCAGTAAATGCTATTTACCTATGTTAGTATTTAAGTTATCCGGCTAAGTATTAACAAAAAAAAAAAATGAAGTCTTAGGTATTCTTATTTTGAACTAGCATAATATTAGTAATTCTTTTCCTTTACAGACTGGCATAGTGAGTATGGTATACACGCAATCGGAGATTCTTCAGAAGGAAGTGTACCTTTTTGAACGTATTGATTCTCCAAATCGAGAGATCATGAAACATCTAAAAGCAATTTGTTTTCTTCGACCTACGAAGGTACTGCATAAACTGAGCTGCCATCTGCCCAGGCAACCGCAAGATGCTATGATCTGAAAGCTTTACAGAGGCAAAATAAATTTGTATTATCATCACTTGTGGCATCATAATTATCCCGGTTTATCAGAGTTATAACCTCGACTTTCCTCCTTTTCATTATCTCAGTTTACTCCTTACAGCCAGTTTTTCCTTCAAGATGTCTTTTAGGTTCCCAGATACTTCCAAAGCCACTAACTGCCCTAGCAGAGACCCATGTCACTTTATTCCTGGATTAACCTCCATACCTATCACACTGAACACCATTGCCACTTAATCTTATAGACTTAGACTAATGTCTTGAGCCTATCATTTTATTCACATCTATGCTCAGGAACCTATAATGGCTCAGTTTTACTTCCATGATTATATTTAGTAACTCAGCCCTCGAAGCCCTCCTTTAACTGGTCTGGTCTGTCCCTACGCATCCAACCTCCTATGTCTTATGTCTGCTCCTCCACTACAGCCAACTTGGCCTTTTTATCACCCCTATACATGCTTGTTTCTGCCCTGTCTTTATTCCATTCCCCTAATTGGAGAATTTGATAGACTTCTGTCAGTTTTCATCCATCTTCTAAATCTAACTTGAGTCCTCATGTTAAAATCCTTAACTATTTCAGTCTTATTTTGTACATTCTCTTGCTTTATATTCATGTTCTTCAATTCCAATGTACTCTTTTACCGTGCTTGTGCGTTATGTACTTTCCAGAATACAAATCTGATCGTGTTGCCCCTACTCGAAATCCTTGAATGACTTCTCATTGCTTTTATGATAAAGACAAAACTCTTTACTGTGGCCTACAAGATCCTATCATTTCTACAGCCTCATTTCAAATGATTCTCCCTTTTGCTCTTAGCCACACTAATGTTTCATTCCATTGTGTTCCATCATGCCATAGGATCTTTGCACAAGCTCTTCTCTTTCCATGGAATTTCTTCATTTCTTCAAGCAAATCTTCCCTGGCCTCGCTGACCAGGTCAAACCCCCCTCTTATAAGCACTAACAATACCATCTTCCTCTCCCTATTGCTTGTCATGATTGAAGTGTTATACGTATTGTGTGATTAATTAATATCTGTCTCACCTACCAGTAATAAGCTCCGTGAGAGCAGAGATGGCATCTGTTTTTCACACTGTTATACCCCTAAAGCCTGCCACATAGTGGATAATAAATAGTTCCTGAATTAATGAATACGTTAATACTGTATTAGAGTAATTTCCAACTGTTTCACATTTGTAGCTCTTAGTCATGGAATTCTGAGAGGGATCTTAGAGATCCAGCTAGTCTATCATTTCCTAACATTTTTTATTAGGGAAACTCACATGCTCTCTCAAATTCAAAATATGTTCTTAACAGTTTTTCCTTAAGATTATATTATAAAGTTAATTTTTAATGTATTTTTAAATCTAAATGATAATTTTTAAAAACGTTTCCCATTTAACAAGCAATGCGCATTGTTTACCTTTAATTCTGTAAGGAAATTATGATTTTTTTAACATCCAAAAATGGTATTTTATATCATGTATAGTTTGGGAACCAAACTTATAATGAAATTTAACCATGCATTACAGTATCAAAAAAATACATAAAACCTGCATTATGTTCTCATGCAATTGGAATTCTTGTTTTGACCTAAAAATCAATTGTTGTTTATTTCTAAATTTCGTATTTTATTTTAAAATAATGTAATTATAGAAAAGGTCTTAGCCTGCTGTTTGCAAATATTGCACAAACATTACACCTGTGCAGTCTTAGGTCCCAACAAGTTAAAAGCCAAAGTGAATATAATTAACTATCTTCTCTTGAACATTGGTTTTTAAAGGACTAGCCACATTTTGGTAGTCTATAGAAGGTTTTTAATCAGATGAATACAATTTATTCATCTGATTAGACAAGGAGCTTTGAGGCAAATTTTCAGAATTATCAATTTTATGATGTATTTCAACATCTGTATCCCTTATATTTATTAATCTTAATTTGGCCAAGGTAATGCAGGTAGTTAATATTATATATGATTCCTGATCATTATATTTAATGTATGTCTTTTTTATCCCCAGCCCTCACCTCACCCTGTCAACATTCACACACTTAATCTAGACCTTAGCGACTAGTACTTTCAATAAATACTTAAAAAAAATCAAAAGATGATATTTATGACTTTTTCACTTAATCAAGTCTCATATTTTGTTTGTTCTTTCTTTTGTAGGAGAATGTAGATCATCTGATTCAGGAGCTCCGAAGACCCAAATATAGTATATATTTTATTTGTAAGTATTTTATTTCACCTATTCAATCATGTAACTATATCTTAGCTAGTGTGTTCTATTGAGCACTTCATATCACCAATAAGTTAAGTGAATCCATTACTATAAGAGTCTGTTTTTTTCAATGTCATTTCAAAGTTTTAAAAATCTTACAGCCGACATTCTATTTCAGAAAGCTATATATGTGGTTTCCTTTAATCATTAGTCACCTATGTAAAAAAATTGTTTTTACTCTACCTTTCAAAATTCTTTGTAAGTCAAAAGTTGTAAGTAGCCAGATTTCATATCCTATCTTTGCAAAAAAAAAAAAAAAAAAAGTATATACTTATTCCTATTTTATACCTTTATGAACTGAGCCATGGAAGCTGATTTATTTATTCAGAGGGAGGATATACTTGAGTTTGTTGGAAAGGCAGAGATTTACATTACATACTAGATGAAAACATTTCACTTTTCGTTGCTACTTTATGTAGTACTTGAAAGTATAAATCATCAGGTAAATATCTCTTTTGTGCATAATTTTTTTTTTGGAGGGGAGTGGAGACCTGGAAATAAACTAGGTATGTGGTTACTAGACAATTTATATGGATTTTTTTTTTTTTGATGTATTTTCCATTCTGCTTTGGAAGTTACATCCATTCTCCTCTAGATGTCATTATTGATCTTTATAGGTTAGTATAGTTTGCTTGATTTCTATTTCTAAAACCAAAGACAATACTCGGTCGGGCATTTGAGAAGTTTTAAAGCTTAGTGGAAAGCTTTGGATTTTTAGGGTTTAGACTATAGTCTACGACATGCGTACTTTCTTCAGCGTATACTATAATTTAATAATAGTAACACAAATTAACATTTATGATAAGACTTTGTACTTTATAAAGAACTTTCTTATATATTATTTCATTCAGCTCTTACAACAATCCCAAGTGGTAAAAATAGGCAGTTTTATTAGTTTCTGTGTTCCTAGTTTTTGTTTTGTTTTGTTTTGTTTTTTGGCTAATAGTCACAGGTTTTCTTTTTTAATTAAACTTTTTATTTTGAAATAATTGTAGATCGAGATTGAAATAAACTAAAGTGAGTTTATATGTAGTAATTTTATTCGTTATAAACTTTCAACACAAAACTGGCCTCCTGCTCATCTCGTTCTTTAAATAATCTTATTTTTGTATATTTTTATGTTTACTAAATATCTTGTGTAACAGGCTCTTCCCTTTATTGAGAAAATTTTTTATTATGGAAGTTTTCAAGTATGTATAAAAGTAGACAGAATAGTATTATAAATTCCAATGCACCCATCTTCCAATTTCAGCAATCACTGTGCCATGACTATACTGCCACCTGCACCCCCACCGATATTATTTTGAAGGAAATCTAAGACATTATATGATTTTATTCATAAGTATTTCTGTATGCTTCTCTAAAAGATAAGGACTCATTTTTTAAAATACTATTTTTTAAAAAAATACTATTATTACATCCAAATAATGAAAAATTATTCTTATTTTTAAATATTCACTCAACATTCACATTTAAAATTCTCGAATGTCTTTTTTTTTTACTGTTTGTTTGAATCAGGATCATAGTAAGGTCCACACATTGCTATTGGTTGATAATGTTGTTTAAGTTTCTTTACTCTTCTATAAGTTCTCTCTCCTGTGCAATTTATTTATTGAAGAAGCTACACTGTTCTGTTAAAAGTTTCCTACAACCTAGATCTTGCTGAATATATCCCTGTGGGGTAGTTTAACATGTTCTTTGCAGTTTTAAATGTTCCTCTATCTTCTAGTTTCTGTAAATTGGTACTTGGTATAGAGGCTTACTTAGATTCAGACCTGATTTCTTTGGGGCAGGAATACTTCATACGAAGTGTTATATGCTTCCACTGATCATCTCTTACTGTGATAGTCACAGTAGTTGATGCTCAATGCCTAGGTCCAGCCACTGATTCATTGGCTAATAGTCACAGGTTTTCTTTTTTTCAACCATTAGGGGTTGAAAAAAATGATGATGTTTTAATTCTATCATTATCATTCCTTCTTTATTTTTTAGCCAGATGTTTCTATAAAGAGAAGTTTCCCCTCGTTCACTATTTTGTTGTTTGGTAGTACAGTTTGTAATAAATGGATGAAAACTTACTTCTTTCCCTTTACTTGCCATTTTCAAGATAAGACTTGGTTTCCTAGCATCTTCCAATGCCTACAATAGTAATCCTTTTTTTAGTAAAGTATTATTATGAATTTATGGATTTAAACATGTTTAAACTACTCATTACAATTTGAAGGTGCTCGACTTTGACACACACCACAATATACACTAAACTTCAGTTCGTCATTACCCTTTAACTATCAGGCTTAGTTATGTCTGTTGCACAGAGATGGTCTCCTTTGAGTCAACCACAATTATATGTCTGTTTCAGATTTCAGTAATGTGATCAGCAAGAGTGATGTGAAGTCATTAGCTGAAGCTGATGAACAAGAAGTTGTGGCTGAGGTTCAGGTAAACATATTGGTCTGTTTCGGGGGTCCCCAAGCCCCAGGCCAAGGACCAGTACCGGTCCGTGGCCTGTTAAGAACCAGGCCACACAGCAGGAGGTGAGCAGTGGGAGAGCAAGAGAAGCTGCATCTGTATCTGCAGCCGCTCCCCAGCGCCAGCATCACCGCCTCAGCTCCACCCCAGATCATTAGGGATTAGACTCTCATAGGAGCGCCGGTCCCTCGTACCAAAAAGGTGGGGGACCGCTGCTAACACATCTCTTCTATTGTCCCTTTTTAAAGTTTGAGTCTAAAAATAAAGAAGATGCTGTCTCAGAAGAAGGGAGGCTGTTGATCAGACACAATAAATATTCATCACACCAGACCATACTCATATTTAGAAAGTTTGGAAGAAGTGTCAAATTGGATGGGGACAGAAGGAGTCACTGGGAATAAGGAGATTGGACTGGCACTGGATCCTACTAGATTGGTAGGAAGAGTTTCACAGGGCTGGGGACAAAGTCAGATATGTCCTAGGTTAGTTTGATGGGCTGCATTATAAGAACGTTCATGTACAGGACGACATCTGACTGGGGGAGGACAGGAAGTGGAGGGCGTGGATGAGGCTGGTTAAAGTTCCCTTTGCAGTTTTCTCACTTTGGGAATAATAAGATGATGTTTGTCATTAGGTTGAAACTTGGAAACTTCTAAGTATTTATTCTTCATACTACATAATACATCACATTAGAACATACCTTGTTACCCTTTCCGCCTTAAGCAGTTTAGTGTTCTCAAATACGTTTATCACAAACATTTGAATATGTTTATGACCTAAGTGAAAATATTTTCTTCAGGGCAGCAAATAAACAAGTTTCGGATATTCAGAAGTATGTGCTAAGTGATAAATGAATAAAAAAGGACCTATTTTAAATCATAGTCTCCCTCATGAGAACGTACTGGAAGGCAAAGTTCTTTTTCATCTGAGTATGACACCGTATATCCTATAGCAGTATTTTATTTTTGCTAATTGATAAGTGTGCGTAGAGACCTCCAGGAATATGCTTCTGCAACTTTTGTTTTGTTTTTTTAAAGATTTGTTATTATTGCTGCTGTTTTATAATTATTTTATTTATTTCCCCACATCGACTATGTTACTCAATTAGAATTGATCAATTTTTGTAAATCTTTCATATTTGCATTTCCTCAGATTTGATATCACATATGAAAATATTACTGCATGATGCAGTTGGAGTTTATGGAATGACCGAATGATCTTGATGCTTTGTTTGCAGGAATTTTATGGTGACTACATTGCTGTGAATCCACATTTGTTTTCCCTCAATATTTTGGGTTGCTGCCAGGTATGGAAGGAAAGGATTTTTTTTTTTTTTTATTGTATTTATCAGGTGGGAGTAATCAAATTTGTAAGAAAAAATTAAAATACTTTCCCTGAATATATGTTTTTAACAAAAAGGGTCGAAACTGGGATCCAGCCCAACTGTCCAGAACGACTCAAGGACTAACAGCTCTCCTTTTATCGCTGAAGAAATGTCCCATGATTCGTTATCAGCTTTCATCAGAGGCAGCAAAGAGACTTGCGGAATGTGTTAAGGTATGGCAGTCTCTGCTCCTAGTTCCAAAACATTGAGGCCATTCATTTCCTTATATTTCAGAAACTAAAGGAATATTTTACCTACAACCAAAGAAATGATGTGTTAGGTTTATGGCAAAGTAATTCAAAACCAAAAGACACAAATTAGAGCTAAACTTCATAGGTTTCATCCAAGAAATATTTCCAAGCTACTTAACTTCTTTTGATCTAGTTAAACTACTTGTAAAATAGAGTTTCAAATCCTAACTTCTTAAACAGAACACTACTGAACTTCACCAAGCTTTTGAATCTTTTTATGGAAGGCCGACGAAGGTGCAAAGAGCTGTCGTTAAATGTGATTGTTATTTATTAATCTCCTATTTATATCATCTCTATCTGCAACTGATTTGTTGACCAACCCATCTTTCCCTCTCACCCACAGCAAGTAATAACTAAAGAATATGAACTGTTCGAATTTCGACGGACTGAGGTTCCTCCACTGCTCCTTATTTTAGATCGCTGCGATGATGCCATCACCCCATTGCTAAACCAGGTGCGAACCCTTTGTTAGCATAACAGAAGGATGATTTCCAGTGGAATTCATCAACATGCAGATGCGGAAATGAGCAGCATGGTGCATGTATTTGCCTCCTATTTGCCGGTCTTGTTTTGCCTTGTATTTCCTGCTGTTTTGATATCACTATTCTTCTAGCCACAGTAATCTTTGATTCTTTCTTCTGCCTCATCCTTCCTGTCCCTTTCTGCCACCACCCACACCCCTAATCAAGGCAACTTCTAGGTTCTGTAGATTCTATTTCTCCAGTGTCCGTCTGTTCTTTTCCATTCTTTCTTCCATTACCTTGGTGAAGACCCTAATCTCTTATGGGAATACGGAAATAGTCATCTACTTAATTCCCACTTTTCATTTCTTCCCATTCTAATGAATTTCACAGACACAATGAGGTTAAATGACTTTTCCAAAAGCACAGTTCCGATCCTGTTATTCCTGGCTTAAAAATCTTCATTGGTTCCCATTTGTCCAGTGGGTTGAAAACAGACTCCTGAACTTGGCATCCAAGAGCCCTCACAGTCCAGGCCCAGCCTTGTGAAACGCACGGCTCACCACTGTGCGGATTTGCCACACCGTTTCTGCCATCAGTGCACTCATGTCGTGACCTCTGTCTAAACTCTGAAATGCTTGGAATGCCTTCTCTTCCCGACTCTGCCTATCAAAAGTCATCTTGAAAGCCACTCGAAACATCTCCTTGAAACCTTTATTCTTTCAGTCAGACATGTTCTTTTTTCCCCTGAATTACCGTGGAACTTTGTGTCTCTTATGTCTCATGCTGCTCCGGCCATGTTGCAACTTCGATTGTTTTCACTCTCCTAGGTTATACATTCTTTCAGGGCAGACTGCGTTTGTTCTTCCGCAAGTACAAGCACAGTGCCTTGCAGAGTAGATGTTTTATTAACAGTGACTTTGAATTTGTAGAGAAAGGCACAGTCTATATTTAAGTTGCTTCCCAGTTTATAATAATGTTAATGCTGGGGAAGTCTGTGGCCGTGGAATGCGACTTCTCTATGATAGAATAGCCTTGTATTCCTAAAATTCAATATAATATATGTTCACTTAAAAAAATATATAATATAAAAAATTAGAAAGAGAAATGATTGCCTATAATTCTGTTTCCCAAAGAAAAGTAACCATTCATTCAATGGATTTCGCTGAGGACCTATTATGTGCCAGGTACTGTTTTAAGTCCTGGAGATAAAAGGTTAAAAGATACCGTCTCTGCTCTCAAAGAGCTCATGGTCCAATGAAGAGAGAAGTAAACAGAAAATTTAATTATAGAGTAGGTGCTGATGGCAGTGGTGTGCGCGGGATGCTGTCTATGGAAGCATTAAAAAAAACCTCAGTTATTTCTTAATCTAGATTGCTTAAGATGAAATAATACACATATAAATAATTCTTGCATTTAGATTCTAGATTTAGAGGGTAATTTGCTGGAAAATACTTACTTTTGTCTAATGGACCTATGACTAAAAGTAACCCATTCTCCATAAATGGGGAAAAGGCAGAATTTGGGGATTTTCCTTTCCCATTTTACCAAATAAGTTCACATATGTAAGACTGGAAACCAGTCCTTCTTCACAAGTCATATTAAGTAAAAATATAAAATAAAATGAATTCAGAGGCAAGCTTCTGAATACGTGTGTTTTCATCAACTCACAAGGTTTTTTCTGATAATATTAGTGTTCCCAGGATAAATATAGTAGCACTCAAATCTGCAAGAACACACTTCTCGTGCTGCAGAAAACCACAGAAGCGCACAGGAAATGGTACAGCTCGTAGCTGCAGTACCAATATAGCCCTATCTGTGAAGCCAAAAATATACTCTTAATTCACAGGCAAAAATTGGAGCTAATGATAGATCTTATTTGTTTTCTTTTTATCAGGAATATTAATCTTGCTGCCTTTCTTCCAAAAGTGTGAAATCTAAACGTATTTTGACTTTTGGATGTTTAATCAATTAAAATGACAATTTTAATGCTTAGTATAGCACAAAATATCAATAAAATTTGAACTAAGTAGAGAATCTCCATGTAAACTAATTACTAAGAATGTTATCCGTTTTTATTGGTTTTCCTGAACATTTACTTTTTCCATGTTTTCTCAGTTACCAATTTTTTTTTTTTTTTTTGGTCATGATTCTTCATTTAGTGGACATATCAGGCCATGGTCCATGAACTACTGGGCATAAACAACAATCGGATTGACCTGTCCAGAGTGCCGGGCATCAGTAAAGACTTAAGAGAAGTGGTCCTATCTGCTGAAAATGATGAATTCTATGCTAACGTAGGTGATTTTAAAATTTTTTAATTGATTTTTATGTTAATATTAACTTGTTAAAATGAGAGCAGGTATGGGATTTCATGTGGAAGGATGATAGAGGCATTGTGTAGATAAACTGCATCTCAAGGGATGATTTTATACTTTTAAAATTAGAACCCGATTTATTGACTTCCGCCCCTTCCGTAGCCCTTTGGGAGAACAGTAATGGTGGTGTTCATCACCGGTGCCCTGGCCGATGTCCAGATATGGTCATTATGATGGAATTTTCTTGCCTTTCAATTCTAACTGCTTTCAGGAGTCGTTTTCACTTCTTTTAAATTGTCTGAAAGTCAGACTAGTTGATAGAACTATGTTTCCAACTTCCTTTTTCACAGAATATGTACCTGAACTTTGCCGAGATTGGTAGCAATATAAAGAATCTCATGGAAGACTTTCAGAAGAAGAAACCAAAAGAACAGCAAAAACTAGAATCAATAGCAGACATGAAGGTAAATTGAACATGTGCATGGATGACTAACATACAAGACTTTGGACCTATTCATGTAAGCAGCATTTCTGGCATATTCTGGGTCTGATTTCTACCTTGATTCATTTTGCTTGGTTCGAAGTTATTTTCTATAATAGTTCTCTTTAGGAAATAATATCACAAAAACTTCATAATAAGCCATATACTTCTTTCCATTCTTCAGTCATATTTGGACTATTTAAAAACCCAGTCTGCTGACATACACCGGTTCTTCTCTTTTTAGGCATGACAGAATGCCAGTAATCGAAACCCGTAGATGCCTTAGTCTGGGCAGAAGAATAATCCTTCTTTTTTTTTTTTTTTCTTCCTTCTTCATATGTGCCTATCCTTGGTCAAGAAATAACAGAACCCCAATTGATGTTTTTCCCATGGTAGGCCTTTGTCGAGAATTACCCACAGTTCAAGAAGATGTCTGGGACTGTGTCGAAGCATGTGACCGTGGTTGGGGAGCTGTCTCGGCTAGTCAGTGAGCGGAATCTGCTGGAGGTTTCGGAGGTTGAGCAAGAACTGGCCTGCCAAAATGACCATTCTAGTGCTCTCCAGGTATCTGTTTAGTCCCATTTGATGAGCACCTACTATGTGTAAGGTACTGTGCCAGGCAGAGCAAGAGATACAAAGGCAAGTAATCCTTCTTCACCAACATGGAACTTAACAGTCTACCAAGGAGTTGAGACAAGGACACAAATTTATGTTTTTTAAGATAGCTACATGATAAGAGCCACAGGAGAAAAATAATGTGCAATTCCAAAGGGTCCAGGCAGTTAACTGAGTATTTAGGAGGGCCGCCTAGTCTACTAGAAAGAACACTAGACTAAAATCGGAAGATCTGGATTTTAGCGTTTGGTTTACCACTTACTGGCTTTGTGACCTGGAGCTGTTGGCTTAATCTCTAAGCCAGTTCCTCATTTGTAAAATAGATATAATAATGATATTTATTTCACAGAGTTATTAGGAAGATTTTAAAGGATATAATTATATTAAAATGCATTATATAAGTATTTTTACTATTGAACATCTGCTTTTCATTCCAAACATGTGAATGCCTGCTATATGTACATACACGTGAGGGTCTAGAGATACAAAGATGAATAAGATACCATCCTTTCTCTCAAAGAGCTTACACTATAGTCAGAGAGAAAGAAATTTAAACCAGGAATTATAATACCATGCATAAGTGCTATTTTAGAGGTATTTCCAAAGAGAAATGGAAATACAAAAGAAGGACAACTGTTCTCTCTAAGGATGAAACTTCTTAGAGCCTTTTAGAGAAGATGACATTAGACTTGGGTCTGGACAAATAATTAAGTAGGAGGAATGCACCAATCAGAGAAAAGGGCGGGGGGAATTCTTGGCAGAGAGAATGCAGGCATGGGGATGTAAATAAATAAGTAAAATGAAGGAAGCAGAATAATTCAGTGTAACTGGTGCAGAGTACGAGATGAGAAGTTGTCTTAGACGAGCCAGAAAGACATACTGGGGCCAGGTTATGGCCTTGACAGGAGGTTGGGCTTTCATCTTAAAATAATGGGAACTGCCAGAGAATTTTAGAAGAAAAGTGACATAAGCAGACCCTGGCCTCAAGAAATTTACAGTTTAGTTGAAGAGACAAAACTAAAGCACAAGAAACAATTAGGCAGTGTTTCTAGAAAATATTTAATCAAGTCAAAATTGTGATACTGTAATACGATTGGAGGTTATTGGGGACAGTTTCTTAGAGAAGGTGATGGACCATAAGGAATGAATAGAATCCGGAGGAGGATTTCAGTCAGGGATAACAGCAAAAGCAAAGCTGCAGAAGTATGCAGAAAATAATAAATAGTTTGACCCGTTGAGAGTGGGTGTGAAAGAGAATAGGAGATAACATTGAATTGGTAAACAGGACCAGTTTATGAAGAAGCTTATTAAGAGGAATTTGTACTTGCTGAGAGAGGCAGAGAGATCCATCGTAGGGTCTTATATAGAAAGTTGATGTGATGAAAGCAGTATTTTAGGAAATTTAATCTAGTTAGGATGCTTTGGAGGTGAAAAAACTGGTCAGTGAGGCTAGTAGACTCATAGCATTAACAGTAAAAATGAATAGGAAGGACAAATCCGAGACACATTTCAGAAGGAGAAAACAACAATTTCGTGACAGTTTGGATATAAAGATAACAAGACGGAACGAATCAGATCATTCCAAGGTTCCTGAGACATGACAAAACGTGGCATCACTGACAATGAGTAACCTGAGAATAAACGGCCTTTAGGAGACAGCCATTTCTAAGCCACTTATTATAAGGAGCATATTTCCTAATTAATAAGGACCCAATATTCTAAAACTTAGCCTCTTTCTTTCCCTGCTGCAGTTCTCCTTCACTTTATAAAACAAAGCCAGCATGGTATAATGGAAACAACACAGGCTTTGGAGCCAGACTGTCCTGGCTCACAGCCTGTTTCTACATACCAAAGTTTTCTTTGGGAAAATGGTTTACTTTGCCCAATCCTCAGGGGTAATGATTTCAAACTTTTAAATTATGAGAATTCGATGAAATATGGAAAATTCTTCATATGTGATGGGTTCTTTGTAAATGTTGGTTTCCTTCCTCTAAGAATAATTTTTTAAATATATGGTACAACCAGAAGACAACAATCCACCGCCTGGCATTGCTCTAGTTATACCAGCTTCTTTACTGGGATTTATAGTTATAGTTGTTGGTTTTTAATTTTTTTAAATGTTTATCAAGATTTCCTCTGAAAACACCATTATTTTGAAAATCATAAAGATGCTATTTGCTTCCATCGTCACTTTTGATTTTATACCTGTGTTCTTAAATCTTCACAGAAAACTTTATTATTTTATTATTATTTATTATTTTTTAATTGTTTTAAATTCAGATTCTCTTAAATAGATAATGATAGTACTCGGTGAAAAATATACAGTTAAAACTGTCTCTTACTAGTTTCACATGCATCCTTGCACGTATTCTGTGTATGTGAAAGCCTGTACGAGTGTCTTCTTCTCTTTTTATCATAGTGTACACATAGTTCTGCATTTACTTTCTCACTTAACCATGTATCTCAGAGACTGTTTCAGATCAGAACCTAAAGACTCAGTCTTCTGGATCACTAAATAGCATTGCTCTGTGAAGATGTATCACAATCTACTTAACTGGACCAACTTACTTTAAACAACACTACTAAAGACAGTTAAGAGTTATTTTGTAGACCTAATAGAATTATTTTATTTTTTCAATAAAATAAGTTTTCTCTTATTAAATGAAAACAAAATTTAATCCTACATCTAAATTTAAATTTCCACATGTTTCTTTATCATTTTATTTTCCCTTTAAAACAATAGAACCAAACTTAATCATTACCCAATTTTACTATCTTTATTTGTATCTCTCTACCATATGGAAAGCAGTTAGAAAAAGTTACTGTAATGCCTTGCCTGAAATCTTATTTTTTGTTTACTCTAAAAGAAAGATAGTGCTTTTAAAATATGAGTTCCATTTGTGATATACTGTATATTTTATATTTTAAAAAGTTATCTTTTGAAGGTTTTCTTGCCCGTGGTCTTAGGGTTTTACACTGAGCAGTTGATTTGGGCTCCCCCATTATAAAGGATTTCTTTGGCAACGTGATTTAAATAGTCTATAAAGGAAACTTTTGTCTGATAATGAGTAGATGCCAGGGGCCTGACCCCTCGATGGGTTGGAGCATTCCTTGGCTTGACCTTAGATGATAATTCATCATGAAGCCATGAATTGAGGTTTTTTTGAGTAGAGATGAAGTTTGCTTTATTGAATAGTAACTGTGACATGAGGGAAAAAAGCTTGTATGTTGCCAAAAATTAACCTGTAAATTGCTGCCACTTCTAACCAGGTATTCTACAGGCTAACAAAAATTTGATTTAAAAAGAATTTCACTAGAACCAAACTGCAGTCTACTGCCATTGAAATATATCCGTAGCTTCGGGAAAGATTCGCTTGATTAGTAAGGAAGACGTTTTTCATACGGTGAACAGATCATCTTCGGAAAGTAAACAATATCCTCTTCGTGTTGTCACCACAGCTTTTCACTTGGAAAGAGAAACTAGTCTATTTTATATCCTTCTTTCCTGACCTTGGAGAAAAGACCTCAGATCATTCTATTAACACATTAGTAAAGACTCAATAAATATTTGTTAGAAAATGAAGAGAAAGTTCTATTTGAAGCGGCATGGAGTAGTGGCGAAGAGCTTCAGTTTGAAAATTATTCTTAATCACTGAAGTCTTACTCTTTTTGTCTAAAAAATGAGGAAAAATAACTGTGCTAGTTCAAAGATTTTTGTGAGGCTACAATGAGCCAATACATGTAAAGCACTTAACATGGTACCTTATGACATTCAACAAATATTAACGGTCACCATTATCAATATTGTTATTTGATGGTACATTCTGTTTTCTTTATGGCACCCAGGACATGTGTTTTTAGGCCACTCGTGACCTTGGATCTCTCCCTGATTCCAGAAGGTTTTTGTTGTTATTGTTTTGCTTTGTTTTGTTTTGTTTTTTGTTTCTCATTAAAATCATAAAAAAATTGCTGGGGACGCATAGAGCTGACAATTTTACTTTCATCAATTAAGAGTAAAAATGATCCTTCTCTCTCTAAACCAGTGTTTAACCAGTGTTTCAGAAACAGTACTGAACAGCAGAAGATCTAGAGCAAAGCTCGATTTTATGTTGACTAGTCATTAAGAAAAATAATACTGCCTCAAATTTATTTACCAGTCAGTATAGTTGGGTGCTGCCTACTTCCTATCATCTTTCCTAGATAAAGTCTTTACAGTCCCATAACCCTGTTCTCTCGAACAGTTAGAATAGACTCATTTTTTTTTTTTTATCATGTCTGCATGTTGAAGGCTTCTGCCAATTCCATCTTGCTGTTCTAATCTTTTGGCTTATAATGCTGTTCATTGACTTACTACATTATCTACAACATGATAACAGATAACAAAGTAGAGATCCTGTCATTTAAGTTTAAATTAAAGCAAAAAATAGAAACTATCTCTCTCTAGTTGCTGACTTCATCTGTAATTTTACAATGATTTAAAATGTAGGTATGTCATTATAAAAGTATTTTCTTCTTGTGCTGCTTCATCATAGTTTTGGGAGAAGAAAACAAAAAAATAGTCATCCCAAAACAATAGAAGAATCTCTAAATATCAGAAAAGAATTGTTTTTAATTGAACTCTTTTGAGTGACTGTTAGCTCCTTTTTGAAACTTGACCTTCAAGGACAGTGTTTTTTGCTCTTCTTTGCCTATTCCTTGATTTGACCTATATGAATGTTAGAATTCAGTGGAAGGTTTTTGAATCTTATAAACAGAGAAAAGTTTTCTGTTTTGTTCTTTATTCAGTCATTGTTATTATGTGATACTATGTTTCTCTCTTGATAGTCTCAAGGCTTATGGAAATTTTAATACGAGAAACCAAGAAGTTTATTATATCATTTAGTCATAATTCCAAAATGTAAATACCACCATATAGCACATAGCCGCTATGTAATTAGAAATCTCTCAGATTCTTTTTCTCCTCTTCTCGGGCTAGTACCCTGCAATCTCAATATAATGCATGCCATTGTGAGCCAAGTTGATGAGTCAAGTAGCCACGAGGGAAATAGTTTAAAAGTAAGTCAAAGAATAACATGGGAACCAGGAAGACAAAAATACCTTTCTTCTTTAAGGACTTACGTAGCTGAAAGATAAGAAAGAAAGCCTGTGCCTACAAGATTCTTGTCATGATGAAATATATCAATCTAGCCAGAATACTGACCTAAGCCATGGCTCAAAAGTAAGCAAAGTAGTCTACTCAGAGTCATCTCGGACCAGCTCTGCACCAGGTCCTCAACAGAAAGTAAGACTCAAGCCTGGGACTCTAAATACCAGTATCAGATCTCAAGGAATAGAAGTAAATTCTTTAATGGGAGACAACCAAGTGAAGATACAAGCGAAGGCAGAAAGGAGAGAGGGTTAAAGCTGATTGCTGCACAGTCTGTCCCCGTGCCAGTTTTGTGGGTTTGTGGTTACTTGAGTATCTCAGATTTGCTTAAAAGTACAGGGATGGGTCAGCTAGAAATTGAGTAGATGTAAGGTTAAAAAGGGCGACTGCAAGAGCAGGAAATGAAACGTGCCTGTAAGAAACGTGACAACATAGATCCCAGATAGATGTTTCAAACTTACGCCAAGTTAACTGACATACATATGAAATTGTGTGTTTTTACTTCATAATAATTTATACCCTGAAATTTCTTCATATTATAGTAGAAACTAGTGGAACATTTGAACAGCTACTCTAAATAGGTCGTATTCCATGCCTGCTCTGTGGAAAAGGTACCACAAAATGAAGAAAAGTAAGGACGTTCTTACGACTGCAGGGTTTAAATCTGTAGAAGAGAAATGTCTTCCTTTCTGATTCCATATGGATGATGGTAGTGAAGCGTTCACGCAGAAAAGCAACAACAGGGACCCCATTCGGAACTTCCTACCTGAGAGTTGCCTGGTAGTCCCCCATTAGTGGGAACAGAAGAGCTCCTGGCATTGGAGCTGGTCGCTGCGAGGTACCGAGAGGATAGTGGATGTGAAAGCACCTTGTAAGATGTGAAATGCCATACAGATGGGAGTTATGTCCTCAGAATCCCGTGCCCTCCAAGGCTCTTGCAATCTTTCAGTCCAACCCATTTCTTTCTGATTTCCATATTCCTATTAATAGCATCTCCTCTTTCAGTCTATCAGACTAATTCCAACATTCTTTAGAGTATTTTGCAAATGTCACCTCCTCCAAGAAGTCTTTCTTGATTCCTCAGCAACCAAATATACTTTGCTTTGTCCCCTCCCCCCCATTGCACTGATTTTCAGTTTTTGATTTTTGTTTTATTTTTTGTGTATCTTACGTTTCTGTTATAATACCACATATGTTTTCTGAAAAACCTCATATTCTGCAAAATCATGCACTAAAAATAAAGGTTATGGGAAAATAGGGTTATAAGCAGATAGCTTAAAATCTATATAACTAAAAAAAAATCTATATAACATTGTATGCAGAGTCCAATAAAAATAATAACAGGCCTAATAAAAATACTAGCAGAGTTATATCTCCACTGTCACTTGTCCATAGAAACACTCAGTCCATCCTTTGTGGCCTTATTCCTGAGGCTCGTGTTTTATTCATCAAGATATAAGGTCTCAAGAACATTGCTTCTCATGGAGCCTAGTTTCATCAAAATTAAAAATACAATATGGGGATAGCAATCAGTTTTTGGTTGTTTTGTTTTGCTTTTTAATGCAGAGAAATACTTTGCATCCTTTTCATTTACATTTGTCCTTCCCCCAGATAGCTTTGTATAGTGGAAAGTACAGAGGTTCTTAAAACTGCAAAATCAGCTACTTCTTGCAGAAAACATTTCTGTAGGATTTTCATCTTTTTTTCTTAATATATTGGTAAAGTTTTGTCTTTAAAGAGGAAGCTCGTCCCTGGTCTCTTCTAAGTATTAACATGCTGGAAAAGTTATGTATAAACCAGTATGCCTTCTGTGTTAAACCGACGCCATTCCCGTATTCATCAACCTCATAGAGCTGAAGTGCATTCAGGAAGCAGCCTTTTTAGCACAATGGGCTACACCTGTTTCACTCCCTTGTCTGTGAACTCTGTGAAGACAGAAACTGTCCCTAACTCATCAGTGTATCCCCTCCAGGGCCTGGCCTAGTGCCTTATGCCCAGGGGAGAGCTCAAAAAGTATTTGTTGGCTTGAATTAATTTGTTCTGCACAATAAATATAAATCTTCACATTATGGAAGTCCCTTCATGTGAGGGTTGACAAAACCCAAACATGAGTTCATCTAGCTTCCTCTGCGGGTCCGTTCCGGCCCTCTTCCATATGCTGTTTACATACTCATATCCCGGTAGACAACACTGAGACATATTGTTACATCTGATGCATCTTGGAGATTAAGCCAGTCCTTTGTAAAATTCTACAACTCATCTCCATTTCACTGGCCAGTCGCTCACACTAAAAGGAAGCACCAGAGTTTTTGAGTCAACTGGTCAGTTCTACTGAAGCAGTAGAAATAGTATACATTGTTCTTGTTTCAGCGAGGAAATTTCAACCTTCCCTACATGGGACCCTGGACCATCTCCACAAAGGAAAGGAAGAAAAGGAAAGAACTATCCAGAGCTAAATTCGTTTTTGTCCTAAAGCAATTATGATGGGAATTTATTTCATTATTTAGTTCTTATCTAAGGCAAAAGGCATCTAATTGTGGTTGAAACAGTTGCCGAACCTGTGACCACACATCGCCATAGTAGTAACTTAGGAACGCAGACACATTACCACCGTTCAATAATTATGAGATCTGCGGTATTGTACCACATCACTCAGGAATGGGGGATAGATATCAGTTCTCTCTCTCTTCCCCCAGAATGTAAAGAGGCTCCTGCAGAACCCCAAAGTGACGGAGTTCGATGCTGCCCGCCTGGTGATGCTTTATGCTCTACATTACGAGCGACATAGCAGCAACAGCCTACCAGGACTGATAATGGACCTCAGAAATAAAGGTGTTTCTGAGAAATATCGAAAGGTAACCAAGTTTAAGTGTTAATCCCACCAATCAGGAAACAACTTTGTTATTATGTTCTTACTCAGACAATACATCATACTGTTTTTATTCACGTAAATGTATAATTCTGTTCTCTCATGTCTCGATTTCTTTAATAAAGTTATTTTCTTATGAAATGAGTTTCCTGATCCCCAAGTAATAAGAAGTTGTTTCTCTTTTTTTATAGCTCGTGTCTGCAGTTGTTGAATATGGGGGTAAACGGGTCAGAGGAAGTGACCTCTTTAGCCCCAAAGATGCCGTGGCCATTACCAAACAGTTCCTCAAAGGACTGAAGGTATGACATCTCTGTGCTGCCCTGAGTGAGCGAAATCGAAGCCCCTGCGGCTGAGTGAGTAAATCCGGTCTTCAAAGCAGCTTCCGAATTGCTGCTGACTTAGTACTGTGTCAGTTAAGTGAAACTAAAGCTGACGTCCTCATGAAAGCTTTTCCTGTAAGTGCTTTCTATATTGGAGCAGCAGCAGCATTGGACCAAATAGCTGAGCAGAGAATAATGAGATATTTCCAGGAAATACCCAAGAATGAAAAGGTAGACAGTTCTGTTAGTCATTGTTATTTTACTGCATTTGTTTCTAGTTAAAGATTTGTTAGGTAGGTTTGCTTTGAAGGAAAATAAAGATGAAGCAAACAATTGTAGATCTTTTAAAAATACCTATTTTCTTAAAATGGTCAAAGATTAGTCTTAATCTGCTAGCCTTTCTTATGTTGCTGAAATTTTCCCATTTTCCTGAGTGCGTCTAGTCTCCTTTTCTACATAATCTTTTTTTTTGTTTGTTTATTCTACCATCATATAACATTTTCACAAAAGGATGAGGGTCAGTGAAGAGATGATAAAGGATTTAAGCAATTCCATTTAAAAAATTCCTTTATAACAGGTAGCCTTAAATTATAGTCTTATTATGGGATTGGAACACTTCTAATTGATGCAAATAATTTTTTAAATTATTTAACCATAAAATTTTCCTCAAATTCCTATCCCATGAAACCTCTATTGAGTGCATGTCCTTTTCTGATAAGAATATCATAAACCGTTATATTGCAAGTTTCTCAAAAATGTCATAAGAACCATTTTCCCCTGTCTTAGGGAATAGAAAATGTGTATACTCAGCATCAACCTTTCCTACATGAGACCCTGGACCATCTCATCAAAGGAAAGCTTAAAGAAAACCTGTACCCTTATCTAGGCCCCAGCACACTCAGAGACAGGTAAGATATAAAGATATTAATAATAAAAACCAGAAACACTAAGAAAATAGTAAATTCAGAGTAACGTAAGGGACTACAATTACAATTGTGTTGTTCAACCCCTCCTTGCCCTGTTGTTTCAGTTCTAAGGTTCTTTTGGTTTTACACACATCAAGAGTAGATGTACATTTGCTTGCTGAACTTGAAACATTACTTCTTTTGGAATAAAGAAACGGGTGTTTTGGAGCACTCCAAATACTTATATTCTGTCCTTTACTATCGGACCAGTTTGCTTATGCCATTTAAGGTACAGTTCCATGGCATCTAGCATTTGGAGTTTCAAACATTAAAGCCAAAAATAGATTTGCTGCTTGATTGCTAGCCAGAGCAGGTTGTTACTATTTTTGGTAAGGACTAGACTTTGCCAAATGTGGCCAGCATACAAACTGAGACCTAATTAAGAAAGGCCATTTGTTACACAGAAGAAAAGGCTGGCTTTCTTTTTTGGGTATTAACTAAAGGAAGGAATTATCATTTTAATCTAGTGGTTTGTTAGTTTTAATAAAAACAAAACTCGTCCCTGAAATTTTAAATATATACAAATTCTACCTAGTTATAAATCAGATTTTTGTGTATTTTTTATTGGGACCACATGTTATAAAGAGCTTAAGTATGTAGCTAAATCCTACTGGATCGATTGATGTGAGAATTGTTACAGTTGGTATAATTCTTCTATAATTTCAGTTTATCATAATCTAAGAGCCTTGGAAGAATAATGTTTTATAAATATAATGAATTTCTGAAATGAGGAAAATATTTTGAGGTACATAGATGACTCTTTTATGTGATAAAGTACATTTTTTCACTTTGTTCCTTTAAAAAAAAAAACTCTGTAATTTGGTAACAGAACAGGAAAAATATCTTTTAAAAAATCCAAGGTCGAGAGGCAGAACTTCCGGGGTCAAATCCAGAGAGAGCATTCATTCAGATAAACTGTTCAAGGACCTTGATATCAGTGTTCCAAAATATCAGCTACGGGGGAAGAATGAAAACCAGCCCAAAGCTGTTCACCCATCTTAGAGGCTTTTTGAAAAACAGCATAACTCTATTAAATAGCCTTCTAATTGCTAAGATTAAAAAAAAAGTAAAAATATTAATTTTCTTATGAATTTCATATAAGAGTTACAGAAGAAGAAATTAGCTATTTATTGTTAAAGGGACACCATACCAGCGGTCCCCAAGCTTTTTGGCACCAGGGACCGGTGCTCCTATGAGAATCTAACGCCTGATGATCTGAGGCAGAGCCGAGGTGATGCTGGTGCTGGGGAGCAGCTGCGAGTACATATGAAGCTTCTGCTCGCTCACCCAACGCTCACCTCCTGCTGTGCGGCCCGGTTTCTAACAGGCCACGGACCGGTACCAGTGCTGGTCCATGGACCAGTGTTTGGGGATCCCTGCCATAGACCACCGGAAGAGTTCATTGTGTGTAATTAGTCCATGACAGCAAACCTTTCTAATTTGGGTGATTCACTTTTCCAAACAAAGCTCAAAATGATGCACTTCCAACAAAATGCACAGTTATCGGCTGTCAGTATCCGTTAGCATTTGTCACTGTTGCCTAAATAAATATACAACTAATAATTCAATGGCTTCATCCTTTTACATAACAGATGTTTCTCGAGTGTCTTAAATATGTCGAGAACTGTTGTAGGTGCTGGTGAAATGGAAGTGAGGACAGACGGGTGTCTGCCCTCAAGGGACTCACGTGAAGGAGACAGACAGGAAACAAGTGAGCGAATAAAGGGTATAATTTGAATGAGATAAGTACTGTTGAGGAAATAAATAGGGTAATAAGCTACAAAGTAACTTCGTAGAGGTGGGGAGGGCTGCTTTAGATGGAGAGGGCCTCTCTGAGGAAGCGATATTTAAGATGAGTTTTGAATTACAAGAAAGAGCCAATCACATAACAATGAGGGAAAAAGCATCCCACGCAGAGGGCACGCCAGAGCAAAGGCCTTGAGGAAAGAGAGCACTTGGCAAGTTCATGGAGCAAAAAAAAAAAAAAACAACCCAGTGTGGTTGGAGCGCAGCGAGTAAGGAGGAAATAAGAAGTTGAAAACTTAAGTAGATGCTGGATCACATAGGGTCATATAGGCTTTTTTTTTTAATGTCATAGGAAGCCACAGAAGAGCTTTAAGCATGTAAGCGACATAAACTGAATTATGTATTGAAAGATTGTCTTGTGGGGAGAATGCATTGAAGGCAAAAACAGAAGCAGGGAGACCACTTAGGAGGAGGCTACGATAGTCCAGGTAAGAAATGAAAGTGGTCTGGAAAGGAGGCTGGCGGGACGGTAGAATCAGCAGACTTATGAAACGGAGTAGACTGATGGGACAAGGGTAAGAGAGAAGTCAAGAATAACGCTCAGGTTGGGGGGAAATCGAGAGTTGTGTTGTTAAGTTGCAGATGTCTGTTGGATCACCAAGTGGAAATGTTAGATACTGAATAGGGAGCCAATAGGATTGTGATGATATTTAAAGCCTTGGGACTAGATAAGATCACTTAGGAACAGAGCACAGACAGAAAAAAGAAGAGAGCCCAGGACCAACCACTGAATAGAGGATGTGGGGCCAGAAATGGACACTGAGGAGGGGACCGGACGGTGGGAGGAAAGCCAGGAGGGCATGGTGTCATAAAGACCGAGGAGCGAGTGGTAACCTGAGTCCAGTCTACTGAGAGGTGAAGACAGTGAAGCATCCATCAGATTTGGGAACATGAAGGTCTTTGGTGACCTTATTCCCCAGTTTCAGTGGGGTTGTAAATCTAATTTCAGAGGGTCACAGGATATAAGATAAAATTGAGATGACAGATGTATACAACACTTTTAAGAAGCTTTGTGTGAAGGGGTTAGAGAAATTGGATGGTAGCTAGATGAGATGGTGGGCACTAGGGAGAGAGGGATTCTAGAGCATACGTGTAATCTGATGAGAATTACCCTAAAGAGGGAGGAATAGATAATTCAGAAGAGAAGGAAGAAGAGGGCAGAAGTGAAGTCTTTAGGGGACCCAGAGCACACGCGGAGGAGCCCTTGATAGGAGCTGAGGCACCTCCCTCATTTTAAGTTTGATGGTGAGAACATGGGGCCATCTTGTCTAATTGATTCTACTTTCTCAGTGAAACATGATGCCAAGTTATCAGCTAAGGTAGCAGGTTAAAGAGAAAACATTGTGAAATTGTCATCTTGTAGGCTAGAAATCAAATCTACTAGGGAAACGTAAGCAGGACTTCTAGGCGAGATTGAGTGCCCATTAGACTTTTGTGGTCATTGATTTAAAATACAACCCATGAGCCTAGTTGTGTAGTTTTTCTCCAGCAACTTCTAGCTTAACTAGATTAAATGAGGAGAAGGCTGACAGTTTGGGTCCAACCAGGACTTGGGGGAATGAAAACAAGAAGAGTGTCCTAGAGAGCGGAAAAGTATTGTCGAGTGGGCTAGAGGTCCTGACGAGCTCAGAGACTTATTGCAGTAGCGGTGTCAGTATAAGTGAATTAGGCAGTTCTTGGAGAAAGATCTTGAATTCAGGATTTCACAGCACAGGTACTTGTAATGAAGAGTTTGTTATAATCATGGGTGTTGGTGGTTGTGAGTGATGGCAGAACAGGTCGGTGTGGGTGAGGAGACCAGGCTGTGAGGTGAGTGATCCACATTAATGTTAAAGCCACTGAAAACCTTGAAAGGCGCAGGAGTGAAAAGGAGAACAGTAAAGCGGAGCTGAAGTCTTTGGGGAATAAGAGTGACCGGGAAAGGAGGTCGGGAGGAAACGGTGCGCTGCGCACTCCTAAGACAGTGGACACTTTGAAGGAGGCAAAGAAGTGGTTAGGGGTCCACAGCGCGGAGCACAGCGCCTGCCCTGCCTAACGCAGGGATACCGCACAGGACGTGAAAGGCCTACTACGCAACCCTACTCCTAAAAGCCGGCCGTACAGATGTACTTGCACAAGCCCACAGAGACACAGAAACAAGGATATGCCCCAAAACACTATTTGTAATAGAGAAAAAAAATGGAAATAAGCGAAATATCCATCAAGAGAAAACTGGTTACCTAAATTACAGTATAATACTATGCATTCTTCTTTAAAAATGGCATAAGTTTTCGTGGGATAATATCAAAACTTTCTAAGATACAGTGGATAGAAAAGCAAGATGCTATAATATCCCTTTTGTGTAAAAAAAACTATGTAAACATAAATGTAATTATATACATATGTGTATATAAATAAGCTTCTATATATACATAACATGTGTATTATATATGCATGCATTATATGTTTATATATACACTAAATAGTTCTGAAAGAATGAACTAGAAATTGTTAATGGTGGCTACCTCTGGCTATCGAGACAGTCCTTCACATTCAATATTAAGTATTGTAATCTTGAAGTAAGAACTGTGTTTTGTTAATATTTGAGTTTTCACAATATTAAACACAGTGCTTTACAAATAGTTGTTCAAAAGATACTTGTCAAATTTCTTACGTAGGCATTTATAGCAGTTGATGTAAGATTTACAGTTGGAAAATTTAAACTGGAGAATAAATTTGGTTGCTGTTACCAAAATATCTAGATTTGCAGTTCGCAGTAACCCTGTGCAGTATTTTGTTCTGCGTCCACTTGGCCCACTCTCGGCTCTAGCCATTGTCTTGGCTCTGGATCATCAACACGGCGAGTCATTGATTTTAGTCATCTTTATGATAACTTGTCTCATCATGTCTCGCCATGATAGAATTTCTTGGTTTTGTTATTATTGTAATATTAGAAAGTATCAAAGGAGATGTGGCAAGAACACAATTTTGCAAAACCAGGAACACTTGTAGAAATGTTTTAGCCCTTAGCTATTAAATTAGTGGTTAACCTATTTGGCAGTGTAACTGTATCCACAAATTGGGTTTGAGTTTTCCCTTGCAGATGGGACTCCCACATACCCTATTTATCAGGCTAATTTTTTTTCTCACTCCAGAATTGCTCCTTGTCCCTGACAAAGACAAGCAGCTTTAACATTTGGTGAGAAAAATGGAGCTTTCTAGTCTTGCATTCCAGAATCGGTTAATTCAAGAAGAACGTACTTTTTCATGTTTACACGAATTTAGTAGAATCTTGTTGCAGCAGCTTATTTTTGCTTCTATAAAAGCAGCGGTCCTTTTTCATTGGCCTTTTTTTTTCTACAGTAAATGCTCATAAGGTCTTTACCGTCTGTAAGTATATTCAAAAATTTGAATTTTAGCCATAAGCGTAATGGTCCACAAAGTAGATAAAATAGAGCCTCTTAAAAGCTTAAGTTTTTCTGCTCAACTCATCTATGTATAGAAGTGATGATTTCCAGAAATACTATATGTGAAAAAATTTTGTTTATCTCTCTAATAAAATAAGATGGAAATTGGTTAGGTTCTCAAGGTGTCCTTGTGTATCTATATACAGCATGAACTGGCTGCTGTTTCCTAATGTTGCCTGTCTGCATTAATTAATGCTTGTGGTTGCTATGGTGAATCACAGAGCACAGGAAGATGTGTACAAAGAATTGAACTTGCGTATTCTACTTAGCTTCAACCATCATAAAAATGTTTTGCTATATATTTTACCATTGACCTCATCAGAACATCTACTTTTAAAATTCACCAGAGAAAGGAATGAAAAGGAAAAATGTCAGGGATTTTCTTTTTTCATCGATGTTCTCAAGCCAGCTTGAATAAGTAGTAGGAGGCTCAGGAAAACATTTATTAATGTTTTCATAACCAAATGTGGCATCATCATCTTTGTTAGGTACACAGTTGAGTTGAGCTTTAAGAGCCTACCCCTGTCACTAGGTTCTGTCCTTACAGTAATATAACACCCACAGTTACCATCCGTGACATTTTCTTCCCCCTCCAGTAACACAAAAATGCTCTGGCACCCTGAAATTACCAGACTGAAGGACAGCGTTCTCTGGCTACCCCAGAAACCCGCTTGACTTTATTTCTTCCTAGTTCTTGTCTTTCTTTCCCATAACAGCCAGATGTACTCCCGAAGCAGGTGATGGGCAGAGGGCAGCTATGGAGAAGCAACGTCATTTCCAGGGTGATCCTCATTAGTCTGCTCAGCTGCTGCTTAAATTGACTCACCAGATCAGGAGCTCAGAACAAAAGTGTTACTGTCTGGTTCCTCTCCTCGATCACTGTACCCTGGCAGGGAAGAAACTTCCCTCCCTTCTTAATGAGATGATCTGTGTGATGATCTGTGAGTAGTTTCTCAAGATAAACTGTATAACAGGTCTCAGGCTTAAGTTGTCCCTCACGTAAAAAGCACTGCATGTGGAATCTTACTGTAAAAAATACTCATTTTCTGAAAATATAATTTAATTTGAGTTTTGAGGATTTTATTATTCTCGAACATTTTAACTGATTTTTTTGTTTTTGTTTTTGTTTGTTTTTGGTTTTGGTTTTTTCCTGTTTTACACCTAGGCTGACCCCTACATGGTTATACATAGACCAAACTATTGGTAGAGTGTCCTCTATCTCCTTGGTGGCACATTCTTGTACCATTGGATTTCTTCCCCCCACAGAACTCATTCTTTACATCCTTTAATGAATATCAAACCACAGCGTGTTTTTGTCTTAAGTAAGTGTTGCTTTCTTCTCATTCTTAAATATCTATACCTCGTCACCAAAACCAAGAAATTCAGAGTTATCATGGACTCTTCCTGTATGCTCATCTTCCACACTTAATCACTGACCGAACAGTGAAGAGTCTACATTTTTTGTCTTCTGTATCCAGTCCCTCCTCTTTACTCCTGGTATTTCTTTAGTTTGTCTTTCATTATATCTTCCCACAAGTGTTTAACAGTAGCCTTTTGTCCTCCAGTTTTTCCCACCAGCAACCTCCAGTTCATCGTAACAAAGCTGCCAAAATTATCCTTCAAAAAAGCAAATCTGGTCATGGTAACCTGTTAAAACCCTTCGGTGATTCCACCGTGGCCTGTAAGATTCACGGCCTTCTGTCGTCTGGCTTCTGTTTACTTCTCTCTCTTTCTTTCACTATGTCCCCAACTTACAATCTTCGCTCCAGCCATAAAAGAAGAATTAGGATGACTCCAAAGTTTTTAACCTAAGCAATTGAAAGAGTAGAGTGACCATCAACTAAGATGAGGAAACCTATATGTGGAACAAGCCTGGGTGAGAAGATAGGGACTCGAACATGTTGAATTGAGAAATATATTAAATATCCAAGTAGAAATGTCAAGTGGACAGATATTTAAGTCTGGCATTTAGAAGAGTGGTCTGGACTGGAGATGGAGATTTGGAAGTCATCAGCAGATAGGTATTCAGTTGACCCTTGAACGATGTGGGAGTTAGGGCTGGCTCCAACCCCACCCAGTCAGAACTCTGTGTTTAATTTTTGTTTCCCCAAAAACCTAACTAAATAGCTTTCCTGATAACATAGACAGTCAATTAACACAGATTTTGTTACATGTATTATATATACTGTATTCTTACAATAAAGTAACTGAGAGAAAAAAATGTTATTAAGAAAATCATAAAGATGAGAAAATACATTTACAGTATTCATTGAAAAATATCTGCACGTATGTGGACTTGTGCAGTTTAAACCTGTATTGTTCAAGGATCAACTGTATTTAAAACCACAGAATGTGCGAGATCATCTAAGGAAGGGCTATTCAATAAAACTTCCTACAATGACGGAAATGTGCTATATCTGTGCTATCTAGTACATAGAGCCACATGTGACTGTTAGCACTTGAAATGTGGCTAGTTCTCCTGAGGGACTGAATTTTTAAATGTTATTTTAATTAACTTAAGTAGCCATATGTGGCTTGTGGCTACTACATTGACCAGAGCAGATCTAGGGAGTACGTGTAGATCAAGAAGAAAGGAGGACCAATGCCTGGGCTCTGGGCACTCCACTATTGAGAGGTGACACTGAGAAATAGCAACGAACAAAGTAGGAAGAAAACCACAAATGTGATGTCCTTTGGAAACCAAGTGAAGAAAGTATATCGAAGAAGAGCAAGCGATCAACTTACTCAGTTTAGAAGGAACAGAAGCCTTGATAAGGACATGGTGCTAAGAATGTGGAGAAATAGGATGTAGAGAAATAGACATTTTCCTGAATTGCTGGTGGAGTGACATCTGTGGAGCAACTTGGTGATATCTACCAGTATATCCAAGATAAGGGTCAGAAGCAGAACAGTGTACGTAAAATGCTTCTGTGTGTGTATACATGTGTGTATATTTACATACACATATATATACACAAACATAGGTAATATCTCCAAAAGGATACATATGAGACGAGAAATAATGTTTACCTCTAGGGAGAAGCTGGGGTACAAGTGGATGGAGGAAACTTACTTTTTTACAGTATACCCTTCTGTATTTTATACCATGCCCAAACATTTATCTAGTCAAAAACAGTATATTTTAAAATAACAAAAAAATGTTTGTAGAATATAAGATGGTATGTAACTCTTAAAGCATTGTGGTGCTAAATACATTGTTTCGGGTGGGTAGTCTTGAATGAAACTTATTGTCTTAAAAAGTAAATTTAGTGTTTCAGAGGCATGATTTTTAAGTTCCAGGTTCCATAGAAATGTCATAATTGACTCTACCTAATTAATTGCAAAATACCACATCTTCTGCATTGGGAGCCTTTCGTTGGGTATCTCTGCAATTCAGAGATTATGTGAACCTTTTTAATAGACGCAATATCTGATTCTGTTTCCAAGAAGTCCAACAAGAACACGTATTCTCTCAGTTAATTCCTTCAAGGTGTTTTAGAAAGAGACAAACAGAAAGGAAATGTAGGAGTTTTTTCATGATTTATACATAAGCATATCTATCTCTTAATTAAAGATGTTTCTATTTAGTTTTGTGCTGTAACCTCCAAAACAAATGATTCTGCTTAATGTAGTTTTAAATAATGTCCAATAAGTGATTTAACAAAACTAATTGCCTACTAAGTAATTGTATCTTCTCTTGATGGCATGAGAAAAGAAAAACAAAGCAAAGTTTAACAAATTTGAAAACAAATATGACCTGCTTCTTGTTGATATCTACAAAAAAAGCTAATGGGAGGACCTGTCACTTTTGTTATGAAGCCATTTTGATAAAGATTGAAACACAGTTAAACTACACAGTGCCACCCAAATGAGGCTGGTGACTGAGTTGATGCGTCAGCATGTCCTGTATCAAAATGACATTCATGGGTTTGTTGTTTGTTTCTATGTTTTATCTTGGTTTTTCTTGGTTTATCAAAGGATTCAAGAACAAAGATTTTAAAAAGAGGTGGAGTTCCTAGAAGCATCATTAGTTTCTGTGCCCCATTCTTTATTACACTCAAAATACTAAATGTCTCTAAGTTCCTTGTTATGGGATATCCAAATATATCAGGACTTTGAGGTCCCTGGACAGCAGCCATTGTAATGACACTGTACTAAATATTTGACAAAGGGCTCATACATGAAAAGAGATGTGTAGGACAAGCATAAATTACTGCTGTGTTGATTTCATGTCCCAGTGAAGTACTCTGCAGCATCTTGAATATAAAAGAATATTTCTACATTTGGTTCCAGCAAACGCTATTGTGCTATTCTGAAATCCACAGCACAGAAATTATGAGACATCCGCTCATAAACAGAAAGCAAATCACTATTCAGCATTTCCTGCTCTGTTTCCTGCCAATTTCAGATAATTAAAAACTTTTTTTAAACCTTTTATTCTGTTCTGCTTTAATTATGCTTCCACCACCAAAAAAGAAAGATTTAGACATTAAAACTATATATAACAGTAACAAGTCTTTGCCTTTTGCCCCCTTATCCTATGATATTAAATGTCTTCATTATTGCAGACCTCAGGATATCATTGTGTTTGTCATTGGAGGAGCCACCTATGAAGAAGCTCTCACGGTTTATAACCTGAACCGCGCCACTCCTGGAGTGAGGACTGTCCTGGGAGGAACCACAGTGCACAACACGGAAAGGTAAGGGAGAGCGTTCAGTCCTGCAGCTTTGTCCCCCTCCCCAGAGAGTGAAGCTTAAGTTCCCTTTATGTAGGAAAAGTAAGGTCAATGCTGACCAAATTGCTGAAGACCAAAATACATCGTTTCATAGAATAATTTAGTTTGTGTGAGACAAAGGATCTCTACTCCATGAGTTTCACTTAGTTAGGTCAGAGACTCGAAGAGTGAGGACCCACCTGCACTGTTAACAATTTATGATCCCTCTGTTCTGAGAAGGAGAAATCTAACTGCCACAGACTGGCACTTTGCAAATACCTAAACGTAGTGGCACTGAGTTCTGTGAGTTTTTGTTGATTAATTACATTCATTCAATAGGTATTTAGTAAAAAGAATAAAAAGACGAATAAGATAAAGATCCTACCTCAAATAAGTCATTGTCTCTGTTAGGAAAGATAGAACAAAAATAAATAAATAAATAAATAAATAAGGAAATAAGTACCTGGAGAGTCAGATAAAAGAGCCACGGATTCTCAGAGTGGCTAAGAGAAAAGAGCAAATGTTTCAGGGAGAAGATCGTGTGTAAGTTGAGCCTTGGGTAGAAAATGGGCATATGGAGGAAGAGCACATTCTAGGCCGAGTTAACCACATGTGAACTGTTATGGAAAGCTGTAGGCAATATATATAGAAAAAGAACAGCCAACAGTCAGCTAACTGGAATGCGTGTGATAAGTGAAGCGGCTGATTGGATGCCGCAATTGCGGAAGGCCTTCAATTCCAGGCTGCGGAATTTCTGCTCTCTTCTGAAGAAAACAAGGAATAATTGAAAGCATTTAAGCAATAAAATTACAAGAGGATCACAGTATTTTAGGAAGTTAACCTGGAAGCTGCAGGTAGGAAAGACAGAGGAGGAGTGGACTAGAGAACCATGCGTGATAACTGAATTCACTGTTTCGGGACCCTGCGAGATCCATGCTGAGCCATGCATACATAGGTACATTGGGAGTCACTGGAGGTGTTTGTGTCTTTTTCAATTTCTAGTATTATTTGGCTTTTTAACATAATTTTTCCTCTTTATTATGGAACTAATATATACTCATTCTGAAAATTCTTTAATTCAGAAAGGATAAAAACCAAAAAATTCTTCTATAATCTAAGTACAGTTGTTACATTTTGATCTTTTCAGACCTTTTTACCTAAGACTGTGCAAACATTTAAATGAGTGTATGCGCAGAAAGAGATCTCACTGTACGTTCTGTTTTACAACCTGCATTTTGTAGTCTATTATGTAAACATCTCTTAGTGTTAAATATAGAGTCTCATTCATTAAACAAATATTAATTGAAGGGTAAGATTGCCTGGGGTTGAAATCCTGACTTTCCTTCTTACTATTTTTGTGAATTTAGGCAAATTACTTAACCTCTTTGTTGGTTTCCGGAGCTCACTGGCTATTTATATATTTTTTTTATCAATTGCCAGTTCATAGTCTTTGCCCATTTTGTAATTGTGGTATTCCTTTTTTTTCCCTAATGATTTTTAAGAATTATATCTATGTAATTTAGAATATCGGTCTATGAGCATGCCACCCTTAACATGCCCAATCGCGTCTGATCTCGGAAGCTAAGCAGGGTCGGGTCTGGTTAGTACTTGGATGGGAGACCACATAAGAAGACCAGGTGCTGTGGGCATTAAAAAAAGAATATTGACCATTTATTCTATAATATACAAATTCTTTTCCTCTATTTGATGTTTTTGTTTTATTTTAGTCAGTGTTTTGTTGTATAAAAACTATTTTCTGCTTTTATGTAGTCAAAGCTACTGGTGATTTCTGCCTTTGGTGTCATGCTTAGAAAGATTATATAAATACTAACAATCATTTTTTCTGTTATTTTTAGGACTTTAGATATCTAAAGTTATATCTTTAGATATAGTTATCTCTAAAGTTATATCTTTATACTCTATCAAAATTTTATTTAGATGTAAACTGTGCCATAGTTTCCTTTTATAACTTTAACAAAAATATTATGTATACATACATACCCCATTACATACAGAAAATAAGCAGACAGCTCAATGAAATATCACAAAGTGAATACATCTGTGTAATCACCACGCAGATCAAGTAATAGAACACTGCCGGCACATCCAGAAGCCTCCCGTAGGCCCCCTTGTCACAAGTAATCACTATCATGACTTCTGTTACAGATTAGTTTTACCTGTCTGTAAAAGATACTTGTTGAATGAATAAAGAAACAGAAATTAAAATTAATCTATTTCTACCTTTCTCACAAATAACAAAGGGATCTCAGAATGACCCTTAGAAGGATTTATTTTTTTTTTTTTTTTTTATGGTGACATTGGTTCACCATAAAAGTTTCAGCTGTACACTTTAACAGTAAGGCATGTGTATATTTACACTGTGCGTTCACCTCCCATAGTTAGATTTCTTTCTGTCACCACATATTTGACCCACACGTAAGTGATATCATGTGATTTTCAACTTTTAGAAGGATTTCTAATCACTTTCCTCCCAACTTTCAAGCTATCATTGTCTGGCATTTTGGCTTCACCTTGTTTTTATAATCCCCAAATTAATCATTATTATTTTCAGTAGTCACATTTGTTTAGATTTACCCACATATTTGTTCATTTTTCCCCCTCTTTCATCCTGGCCCTTTTTTCTGATCCAATTTTCTTATTACTAAAGAACATTCTTTTCTTATATATAATGAACCTTATTTACTTTATTTTACTTATTTTTAACTTTATTTTTTAATTACAAGTGATATACACTATTATATTAGTTTCGGATGTACAACATAGTGACCAGACATTTATATAACTTACAAAGCAATCACCCCGGTAAGTCTAGTACCCATCTGATACCATACATAGTTATTACAATATTATTGACTATATTCCCTATACTGTATTTTAGATTCCTGGGACTATTTTTATAACTGGCAATTTGTACATCTTAATCTCTTCCCCATTTTCGTCCATCCCGTCGACCCCCTTCCCATCTGCCAACCATCAATTTATAAAGAACATTCTTTAGTAGTTCTTTCAATTACTGGTCAACTTGATGTTTTTATCTAAAAATATCTTAGTTTAGCTAATTTTAGAATTCCAGATTGATAGATTTTTCTCACCACTTAAAAGTCAGAAGACAATGCAATACTATTTTTAATTGTTTCTTTTAAGAAGTCTTCTCTCAATATAATTGTTTTTCATTTGTATGCAAAGTTTTCTTTTATATTTTTAGGATTATCCTTTTGTCTTTGATGGTCTTATTTTAGTATTGTGTATCTAAATATGGATTTACTTTTATTTATGCTATTTGGTATGAAAATTCATGCTTGGCATAACTTCAGGAAATTTTCCAGTCATTTCTTTGAATATTGCCTTTTTTACATTTCCTCCGTTCTCTCCTTCTAGAATGCTTATAAGTTATATGTTAGGCCATCAACTGTTCTTTATACTTTTAACCTCTCTTTTATATTATCCATGCTACCTTCATGCTGCCTTCTATGTAATTTTTTCAGATCAGTATTCTAGTTCAGTAATTCTCTCTTCAGCTACGTCTAATCTGTTTAATTTGTCCATTCCATTTTCAATTTCAAAAATTGTACTTACATGTGTTCTGTAATTTTGGATTATGAGTTATCTTAAACAAGGTTTTATCTATGGGATTCATGAGGGATGAAAGTTGAAGATATATCTCTTCTGCATAGTTTTCCTTTCATTTAGAGCAGGTACCCAAAGAGTATTATCAGTTTAGAACTACTTTTTAATGTTAATTTCTGTACTAAAGGGTTCCTGAACCATGCAGAGTCAGTATCATTTTATTTTCAAGTTTCCTCGTTATCTCCCTGTGCAGACAGAAGACTGTTTGTTAGTATACCTGTTCAGTGAGCACCTTTACATTATGCAGGAGTCTCCATTCTAATTCCCTTTCTTACTGAGGCCTAAGCCTCCTGACCCTCTGTAGCTTGTCTAATACAATGCCGTTGTCAAATACGTAGCTTGTCAAATACAATGCCGTTGTCAAATACGTAGCTTGTCAAATACAATGCCGTTGTTTGTGAACACTGGCACACATGTATTGAGTAATCACAGCATCAGTTTATACTTATCAACCTAAGTTTTGGTCCCCTTTTTGTAATGGCTCTTAGAGACTTCCCTTCCTTTCTGAAGAGGTTAATCATTCACTTAAAAGGATGTTTGTCATTTTTTTTATCCAGCATTTCTGTGTTTTATTGCAAGAGGATTTTCACCTTATCTAGTCTGCCTTAATTCCAGAAATGGAAGTGTCAGTGTGGTTAGGATCTTGGAAGTGTATAAAATGACATTACGTGAACTTTAAAGTTATCTTGTAGTTGGGAGTATAATATGCTGATTTAGAAGCTACTATCTCAGAGTGGGAAATGCCTATTGCAAGATATTTCTGGGATACAGTTCACTTGATTTCCCTGATCTCTTATATAACATCTGAAATCACTGCAGATTTATTCTGCAGTCACATCCCAGCACCACCACTTACAGTTTATGAATTGGGGGCAAGATACCTAATGCAATAGATAGAAGGGTCAAAATTGGCCTCCTGCATTCTAGAAAATTACATGAACCCTACTCTCTCATATGGCAGTTTTAACTGCCTTCATCCTGGGATATCTTCTATTTCTAAAGTACAGTGCATCGAGATTGCCTTTTCTGTGAACTGAAACAAAACGTTAGTTGTAGACAAAACCAAAAAATAAAGAACAGAAAATTATTTCCTTCCCTCTCTGGTATATCTCCTGAAATGAATGTAATTTTAGGAGAGAGAATAGGGCCTGCATATAAGTAAGCTCCCTCTTAAGCCAGAAGATATATATCTCTTGGAGTAAAAGGAAATATACATAGTTGAATCTGAAATTCAATTTGCTATTCAGTTTTAATTTAAGCTGCTCTTTTTTAAGTATCTTATTTCTTTAAAACAGTTCTTTTGATGACAATATTTTTCCGTGATTCAAGCACTGGTC